ATATACCCAGCCGGCTTTCATGCCTAAGGCAGGACTAGAACTCAGTTTCTAGCCTGAAACCAACAGACCAGCTCTCTCAGCTTTCTCCCAACTGTATATTTCATCCAGAGGAGATTCAAAAGTAAAGTCCCCCCCCCAAAAAAACAGCTTGTTTACTGTTATCCCACAATGAACAGGTTAATGTTGTACAAGTTCATTTAGGGTGGACACTGTATAGAGAATCTCAAAGGTGATTTTTCAAAAGGCAACTGGACTTGTTTTTCCTTGACTCGGAGGATGGAAGGATTTATATTCCTTGCAGTCAATCTGGTTGTTAGCACTCTTTCTGAGAGACATTGAGGCCACTTTGAGGTTTATGTGATGACTGCAAGGAATATAAATCCTTCCATCCTCCACCATTCAGTCAGAACTGAAGAAGCTTCTTGGATGTGAAGTGAAACATCTTCAAGGAAAAACAAACTCCAGTCATCTTTTGAAAAAGCACCTTTGGGACAACCATGACCTGGATGACTGATAATCTCCGTAGAGCTCTAGATAGAGAGGTTGCATCAGCACTTATGAGAGAAGTGTTGATGTGTGGAACTTGTTAATTTCAATCAATACAGTAAAAAAGCAACCAATCACAGCAGGTTCACTAAGGAGGGGAGCAACTTTATCTTTCCAAGGTGCTTTGCTTTCCAAGGGCCAGACACATCACAGTATAGCAATGCTTTATTGCAGCACATAACTTCCCCAACAAATGGCTGTTGCCCCTTTGCCTTTCTGAGATTTTTAACTTTAACTTTAATAACTTTATTGTCACTTTAAATGTACACTAATCGGCATACATTAAAATCAGTGATGGATTTCAAATTTTTTTACTACTGGTTCTGTGGGTGTGGCTTGGTGGGCGTGGCATGGCTTGGCTTGGTGGACATGGTTTGGTTGGCGTGGCAAGGGAAGCATACTGTAAAATCTCCATTCCCACCCCACTCCAGGGGAAGGATACTGTAAAATCTCCATTCCCTCCCCAATCCAGGGGAAGGTTACTGCAAAATCCCCATTTCCTTCCGATCATCTGGGACTTGAGAGGCAGAGAATAGATGGGGGCAGGGGCAGTCAGAATTTTTACTACTGGTTCTCCGAACTACTCAAAATCTCTGCTACCGGTTCTCTAGAACCTGCTGAAATCCACCTCTGATTAAAATGAAATTAGCTCTCAAAGGGTCACCATCTCCAATATACACTACATAATCATGACAGAATAAATACAAAATTATGCACATACCCACATATATAATATATAGAGAACAATACAGTCTAGTTTGCATGTATACATGTACATGGCGAGAAAAATGAATCTTGTCAGTTTACCAGATGGATGGCATATATTTTCAAGGTCATGTTGCCCTGTAAATATATCTTTAATATTCAGTCCTTCAGTAAGTATTAAAGGAGGTCCTTTAATCCTTAGTTCAAGCAAATATCTATTAGTCTATAAAGTGGAATACAACTTTTGCCTCCTTCAAAAAGTTCTTACTTTAATTGGGATGAGATGCTGTTTCAGTCTGCTAGTTCCTCTTCTATTTGCTCCTGACAAACTTTGAGCTACAGGGAAGATTCCCACCAGGATAGTACATGAAGAAATACACGAGGGAAATGGTATTTCTGGCTGGCTGCAGCTACTTTTCCCAATTTCATTTCCTCATTCCTCTCTTAAAGATCCTAACTGTTTCTTTACTGGTATTAATGTAAGAAGACAGCAGTCTTGAACAAAGTAGGTGGGATTAGTCCTCTCCATTTTACTAATCCTGTTTCAGTTTACTGCTTCTTTGCTGCTATTAGCAATGAGGAAAAAGTACCTCAGCCCTATTGGCAGCTGATGGCCAATCTGTTGCGAAAGAAAAAAAATGGGAACGGTTCCTAGAAGCTTCAGAGATCAGAAAAGGTGGCAGTAGCCATATGTAGTCTCCATAGGCAACGACTGGTATCTCCGGAAAACCAAAGAATGAGTCCTAGACTCATCCATTCATAATTTCAAAGTTGGCCACTTTGCATTAGTTCCAAAGGAAGTAAGTATGAGAGTTATTCTCTGAATGCTAAATTCCAAAAAACCACAATTAGTTCTTGAGTCCTGTCTATCTACTATCTCCAAAACACGTGTGGGCATTAGCAGCAATCATTACACTTACACATTAAGTTATATTGAGATAAAGAAAATATGTTCATAATTAGCCAAATATATTTTATATGGAAACTTATCAATATATTTACATTTGTTCAAGGAAGAGAATAGGGTTTGTTATTTCTTTTACCGACAAAGGAGCATATATTCTTAATTTAGCAATAGCACTTAGATTTATATACTGCTTCACAGTGCTTTACAGCCCTCTCTAATCGGTTTACGGAGTCAGCATATTGCACCCAACAATCTGGGTCCTCGTTTTACTGACCTCGGAAGGATGGAAAGCTGAATCAGCCTGGTGAGATTCGAACTGCCAAATTGCAGGCAGCTAGCAGTCAGCAGAAGCAGCCTGCAGTACCACATTCTAACCACTGTGCCACCATGGCTCCTAATTTAGCAGCGCCTCTTACCTAATGTCTGCCATTTCAAAGCCAATTCCTCTTCCTATCATGATAATTGGGAACAGAGTACGAAAAGGACTGCCTGGGAAAAGGTTCACAAGATTATGTTCCAGCCAAGTATAATATCAAGGTAGCCCTCAGAAAATTATTACTGTATGAGATACCAACTTCTAATCTTTCAAATGAGTTGGACTACTTATAGCTCTTACCTGTCTGTTATGAATAAAGGGAACAGTAGATTTATTATAGCAATAATTACAGGATTATAATTGCTAGCTTTTAAAATACATAAGGCTACAGTTAGAAATATGACAATTTTATCCAAGTCCATTAGTGAATTTCATGGCAAAGCGAACGTGTTTTATCTTGTTTTATAATATTGGAATGGAATTAATTGTACACCACTTTATGCTAATTGAATTTTCTAAGGCAGGATTTGTTCTGAAGATCAGATCCTTATGTCGTGTATGTTGGCAAGGTTTAAATCAGGTTTTACATAGTAATTTTATCTTCACCATTTCACAAGAGAAGTTCTTTTAAGTATTCCTGGAATAAGAGGAATAAGAAACATGTTAGGTTACTGTTTATCACTGCTTTTCTTTGGAAAGTTTCCTTTCCTGTATTGTTGCTCCATTTCACAAAGCAGTGCTTATTAAGTATACCATCCATATTATGTGCCGCTTAATCCTAAAATTTGGCAGATAAGAGAAGCCACAAAATGTACCAATTTAACATAATATCACCCTTTCAGAAGAGACATTGCTTGATGATAAATCTTTATGCAGGACCTCTAAAATTCAATTCTAATTTCTCCATCCAATGTTTAATATTTCGGTGACAAAATCTATGCAAATTATAAACAATCAATATCTGGTCAAGCAGAAAATGACCTCTCTGAGGCCCTGGAGGATTATAGCCACTCAGTAAAGACAATGCTGTATTGTAGAGATCAATGTTATTATTTGACATAAAGCTCTATATTTATGTCATTGCAAGCAGCTACTGTAGCATAATAAAACATGTGAGTAATTATAGGGAAATAGAAGCCAACGAACTGAAATATACTTCTGACAGAAATGGAAGGCTCTGTTGAAATAAAAAAAAATAGTCTAGAGCAGAACTTTTCATTTTAAAAGACTTGAATCATTGCAAAACAATTGTTCATTAATTGCAGGTCCCTGACATTTGTAATTGTGTCCCTTGATGGAATGGCACTGTCCTTGAAAGAGCAGATATGTGACTTGGAAGTTCTCCTGGACTCACAGCTATTGTGCCCGAGAAAACTTTAGCCCACCAGGGAAATTATTCTGTTAAGAAATATATCTGATGGCAGGTCTGTTGTACAATTCCTAACCCCTTGTTATTTATTTTTTTTAATACATATCTTGTTGCATTGGGAATACTTGCTTGGCTCCTATAGATTTATTTCATCCAACCTCCTAGGCTCCTGAATGTTGTTCCTGAATGTACAGTTATATCCACTTTGTTTTCCTCTATAAATCACAGTGGCAATTTCTTGATCCTTCAAATGTTGAATTCAAAATCCTATTGGCCCCAGCCAATAGGTGTAAACAAAAGTGTAAACTAAGTTCCCTCTCCTTGATATATACACTTCTTTTTCTTCATCACTTCATTTCCAGGTTTCTACTAAATAACTGTTTCATGCCTCGATTCTATCAACACTTTAGGTATTGTGACCCATATGCATTACAAACCATTTTATGTGCCTAGCTGGAAGGGTCCCGCAGTGTTAAAAGCATTCAAAAGACCACTGAAAGGTGCTAAAAGCTTATTTGATCTGAAATAAGTTCAGAAACTTTGAAACCTCTAATCAGTAAAGGATCTGAAAAAAATCAATTATGCTGACAACAGTGATTGGCAAATCTGCTAAAACAGCCAGGAGAGAAGATCAGTCAGAGCTGCAGTAACTGTACAAATGGCACCATCTAAGGGAACTAGAATGTAATACACACATCTGGATTCAAAGGCAGCACTTTCTGCAAGCAGTCATTCATTAAAACACAGAGACCAGCTTGGATTTCAAATAACATAAATTATGCATTGCACTTCATATTTTTCATGCTGTACTAAGGTTCCTTTTTATTTTAAGTGCAAACTACCTTGAGAAACAAATTGGCTTTTGATGCATTTTCTCCATAAATAAATAAATTACCAAATTACCAGGATTAATAAAATCATTATTAAAGATGGGCTTGAAGATGGTGAATACATGGGCCATGTAAAGCTGAATCCTAGGACAAAATTCAGGCTGCCAGACTATGTATTCACGGACAATACACGGACAAAAAAATAAAATGTATTGTTTTAATTACAAATCTATGCATCATAGTTACATTACAGAGCCATACAAGAAAAAGTAAGGGAAGCAGATTGCTAACTGTGGGAGATAGAAGGCTTATTGAATATGCACTGACCTGTACTTTCCCGTCCGTACTTGTACAGCTCTAATTCCACATTGCTGGGCTCCTCCTACATCGTTTACAATATCGTCTCCAATCATGATGGCCTGACACAGCAATGAAATACGGAGAGAAATTAAGTCAAAAGCATTTGAGTCCCATCCTATTTCGTCTTCCTTGACATAATAAACAGCTTGATTTGATATTTAATATACCCATCATAAAAAATTAAACAAGTTGTATTGTCAATGTACTGATTTAAAGTTAACCCATCTGGATTATAATTTAATCTCTACCTACAAGGTTATAGAGTTGAGCACTGATATTTCAAGTGGTCTGAAAGCCATCAGAAAAACTCAGTATACATATATTTTTTGATATAGTGCAAGGGGGAAGAGAATACTTCAAGAAAATTCCTCCATTTCAAACTATAAAGGGTAAATTCCATAGCTTACTCTAATGCATTTCTTACCTTCCTCTACACTCTCATTTAATCTTCTTGTTTGTTGTCAGCCTAGCTATATGATTTAGATATATGTGCATTGTCTTACAATCTAATGTTGTTCACCTCGTAACAAATACCAACTAATTACATATTGACTTGGTCATGAATTAAATATATTGGGATTCCAACATTTTTTTTCTTACCCTTTAAAACTTAAGATGTAATCAAAATTTAAGTAAGAAATTATACTTTACAAAGCCATTAAAGCTAAGTGCATCCAAGTTCAGCATGATTTCATACTAAGACTACAGTATGCTAAAATCAAAACTGAACATATCACTTAATCCCAAATCAGGCTGATTTTTTTTTTTAAACTATTGATCCTAATAGTGAAGTTTTAGCTCCCAGAAGAATCCTAGGATAGAAAGATAATAGAAGAAACAAAGTCTGATCAGCTTTTTCTCTTTCCCCATTTTTTTTAAAGGCTCAAGGTGTTTGGTGGTCTTGGCATTTTCTTGTTCTTGTTCTTTTCTATAACAAAAAGATCCCAACTCAAAGGTATTTCTGAGAGTCTTATTGTCCAATGCATCATTTTCTAAGCGGGCCAGGTATCCATAGGACAGAGGTCTTCAAACTTGGCAACTTTAAGACTTGTGGACTTCAACTCCCAGAATTCTCCTGCCAACATAGCTGGGAGTTGAAGTCCACAAGTCTTAAAGCTGCCAAGTTTGAAGACTTCTGCCATAGGAATCACCTAATCATTCCAGGAATAGCTGCAAAGCATGAGGACATTTTGAAAAAATTAAAACAAACAAAATTAAATTAAAATATCACAAAAGCCTCAGCTTAACACATACATTTTCACAATTAAATATTTCCCCACATTTATGTCCATATATTATCTAAACGAAAATCAGACAGAGAAAAACATAAATCTGTCTCTAAAGCAGAAAGACAGATTAGATCTATACTATCTGTAAATCCCAACAGTTAAATATAGATATTTAACTATTAAGTATGTCTTTCTTAACAACCTATGATTACCTATCTGTTAACTTGAAACATAAATACATTCTCTTCTAATTTCTATTCCTCTACCAACAAATTCCTGTAGATTTCTGAATGTGCTATGTAGGTTTCTGTAGGTGGAATGGCTCAGTGGTTAAAGATGCTGAGTTTATCATCTGGAAAGATGACAGCCCAAGCATCACACAATGGGATGAGCTCCCATTCTTGCCTCAACTCCTGCTCAACTAGCAGTTTGAAAGCAGGCAAATGTGAGTAGATTAATAGATACCACTTTGGTGGGAAGTTTAATAGTGTTCCATGTGCCTTTGGTGTATAGCCATGCCAGCCATGCTAGCCATGCTCCTCAGGATGATGAAGAAAGGGAAGCAAAAAATAGAACCAGCCATCCTTCAGGAAGAAGTTATGTGCACAATGATCCAACTACCAAACAACAAGGCCCCAGGTGTTAACACTGTTGCTGCAGAATTGTTAAGGTCCATACAAGCCATATAAAGGATTTATCAGATGTTCAAGCTAGCTTCAGAAAGGGACGTGTCACTCATGACCATACTGTAAATCTGTGTTGGATCATGGACAGATGTCAAAAATATCAAAAGATGATCTATATCTGCTTTATTGACTACAAGTAAACCTTTGATTCTATCAATCATGACAAGCTATGTAGAACTCTAGATGCCAACACATCTGATCAAGTTGGTGTAGTTGCTGCACACAAATAAGAAAGACACTGTGTGAGCATCATATGGAGACACTGATTGGTTCAAGATACAGAAAGTAGTGTGGCAAGATTGCATTTTTTCATCATTCTTATTCAACCTATATGCTGGAGTGATCGCGAGGAAGTGGAACTTGAGGAATCAAAACTGGAGTAGAGATTGGAGGCAGGAAGGTCAACAATTTTTGGTATGCTGATGACTTAATTTTCAGAAACCAAAAAAAACCTGAAACATCTTATCAAAAGAATTAAAGAAGTTAGTGAGAAATTTGGCCTCTTCTTAAAGAACAAAAAGACCAAACTCATGACCACTGCATGGAACGGAAATATCAGAATAACAATTGACGGTGAAGAAATCAAATGCATGCAACAAGTCATTTTCCTAGTTCTGCAATTCCCTTGCAAACTGACCAAAACAGTGAATGCTGTCCAAAATGTCAAATCACACTGAATTACCTAGAAAAGATGTATATGAACTGAGTATGGAAAAGCAAGGACATCAGTCTGGCAACTAAATGCAGATTAGTCTACCTATCATGTTTCCCATAATTCATATTACCATTATATTTTAAAAAACCAAGCGTGGGAAGTAGCTAAAGGTCTTTCATGTAGATGTCATGTCTTTCATGTAGATGTCATGTCTTTCATATCATGTAGATATCCACCCTAAATCAACTTACATGTAGTCCTCGACTTATGACAATTGGGACCAGAATTTCCACTGCTAAGTAAGATAATTGTTAAGTGATTTTTAGATCTTTTTTGTCATATTTATTAAGCAAATCATTGCAGTTAAGTGAATCGTGCCGTTGTTAAGCAAAGCCATCTTCCTCCATTGACTTTGCTTGTTGGAAGCTGGCTGGGAAGGTTACAAATAGCGATCACATGACTCTGGGACACTACAACCAATTGTCAGGCATCCAGACTTTTGACCACATAACTGTGGAATGCTGCAACAGTTGAAAGTACAAGAACCATTATAAGTCCCTTTTTCTAGTGTGATTGTAACTTTAAATGATTAGTTGTAAGTCGAGGACTGCCTTTATTAACTTTATTTGTCCACCAACTTTATTAGTTGGTGGACAACCAGCTAAATATGAACCAGCAGTGTGCAGCGACAGCCAAAAAAGCCAATGCAATCCTAAATTGCATTAACAGAGGGACACAATTAAGATCAAGTGACGTACTAATACCACTCTATAAAGCCCTAGTAAGACCACACCTAGAGTACTGCATCCAGTTTTGGTCATCACACTATAAAAAAGATGTTGAGACTCTAGAAAAAGTGCAGAGGAGAGCAACCAGGATGATTAGGGGCCTGGAGACTAAAACATATAAAGAACAGTTACAGGAACTGGACATGGCTAGTCTAGTGAAAAGAAGGATGAGAGGAGACATGATAGCAGTGTTTGAAGGGCTGCCACAGAGAGAAGGAGGACAGCCTATTTTCCAAAGCACCTGAAGGCCAGACAAGGAATACTGGATGGAAACTGACCAAGGAGAGATTCAACCTAGAAATGAGGAGGAACTTTCTGACAGTGAGAACAATCAACCTATGGAACAGTTTCCTTCGGAAGTTGTGGAAGCTTCATCACTTGAGACTTTCAAGAAAAGATTGGACTGCCAGTTGTCAGAAATGGTGTAGGGTCTTCTGCTTGAGTGGTGGGTTGGACTAGATGACCTATAAGGTCCCTTCCAACTCTGTTAATCTGTTAAATCTTTGAGCAGATTTTAAAGTGACTTGAAAAATAACAGATCTCTAAAACAATAAATGAATAGCTTCAGTAAGTTCCCTTTTTTCACTGTGCATTGTTCTGCCTCTTAAGCAAACCAACATCTAAGTATATAAATCTGTTGAAACTGCAGTAGAGATATTTCAAATTCAATTAATTCTGGAAGCCAAGTTAGATTTGTGTGGTCTGCTCAATTGATTTAGCAGGATCTGCTAATATTCCTTTATGGCTTTTCTATTAAAGGTTTATAGAAATAGTTTTCTTCTAATTTATAAAACCCCTGTGGAAGATTAATACGAGACAGGGAAGCAGATAAGGAGGCTTCCAGGGAAATCAAGTCTTTCATGCTGCAATTAAGAAGGTGCCGGCATAAGAGTAAAATGTTTCATTTTGTTTATAGAGAAGTTTTCGTGTAAGAAGGCCATCCACACTGAAAGTGCAGCTGCACTTGAGCAGTAGAGCCTATCCAAGCCAGCTTGTGGTAGACGCATACAAAAATGTCCTCCAGCCTCCTGGGATTTCACAGATTTACTATCGGTGAAGGGCAATAATCACTAAAGGAGGAGCAATTATTCCCAAATCATTTAGGATTTAAAAAAATCATTGGCAAGAAGATAGAGGTCAAGAGGTGCACTGTCAGGGGAAATAAAAAACTCTACCTGTCAAACCTAGGTTTAACTTCTTCTCTGGCAGCAAGATAGGAAGCAAAAAGAAGAGAAAGGAAGGAAGGAGAAACAGAGAAGATAAAACTGAAAAGGTCACCTACTTGCTGAAGGCCAAAACAAGAATTCAAGTTTGTCAACACATTTTATACAAAGACAAGAGTAGTTTCTGACAAACTTAGTCATTCTGAAATTATGAAAAAGTGGAATGTGTGCTGCTCAACGATAAAGAAATAATTTACTTCCAGAAACCTGTTATTGTGAGGAAAATTGTACTGAAAACTGAAGAACTGAAGAAAAGGTGTATTACAAAATAAATAGCACAACTATATGCATCTACTCAAAAGTAAGTCTCCCTGAGTTCACTGGAACATACACAGGTAGTCCTCCCCTTACAACAATTCATTTAGTGATCATTCCAAGTTACAAGACAGTATGTTGGATATGTTCACTGCTTTGAATTAAGAGGAAGGGAAGGAAGGAAGGAATGAAGGAAGACTGGAATAAGCAATTAAAAATTATG